GGGGAAATGTCGGGAACCGGGATTTGTGATCCTAAATTTATTGATTTTATTGAATTTATTGATAAATCCCGGATTCCTGTAAAAACCAACTTTTCTGAGTCACCCAGGGAAGGATGGAAGGATCCCTCTTAAAAATCCATTTTTCCTTCAAATTTCTGTCTTCAGTAAAACATTAAAATCTCGGATCCCTCTGTGAAATTCCCTGTCTGGAGTCACCCATGGAATGATCCCTCTTAAAAATCCATTTTGCCTTCCTGTTTCTTCCCACTCACCGGCCCTACACAGCCGTGCACAGGCAATCCTATAACCGTGAAGGATCCCACAATCCCACAATCCTATAACTCTGAGGGATCCCATGACCCCAATCACCAGCCCTACACGGCCGTGCACACACGATCCCATAACCCTGAAGGATCCCACAATCCCCCAACCCCACTCACCAGCCCTACACGGCCGTGCACAGGTGATCCCATAACCGTGAAGGATCCCACAATCCCATGACCCCATGACCCCACTCACTGGCCCTACACGGCTGTGCACACGCGATTCCATAACCGTGAAGGACCCCACAATCCCATGATCCCACAATCCCCCAACCCCACTCACCGGCCCTACACGGCCGTGCACAGGCGATCCCATAACCGTGAAGGATCCCCCAATCCCATGACCCTGAGGGATCCCATGACCCCACTCACCGGCCTTACATGGCCGTGATCCCACAATCCCACAATCCCACAATCCCACGATCCCACAATCCCATAACCCCACTCACCGGCCCTACACGGCCGTGCACACGCGATCCTATAACCGTGAAGGATCCCCCAATCTCATGACCCCGTGACCCCACTCACCGGCCCTACACGGCTGTGCACAGGCGATCCCATAACCCTGAAGGATCCCCCAATCCCATAAACCCACTCACCGGCCCTACATGGCCATGCACACATGATCCCACAATCCCACAATCCCATAACCCTGAGGGATCCCATGGCCCCACTCACCGGCCCTACATGGCCGTGATCCCACAATCCCACAATCCCCAATCCCATGACCCCACTCACCGGCCCTACACGGCCGTGCACATGCGATCCTATAACCGTGAAGGATCCCACAATCCCATAACCCTGAGGGATCCCATAACCCCACTCACTGTCCCTACACGGCCGTGCACACATGATCCCATAAC